GTGTGTGTGTGTGTCAGTGTGTGTGTGTGTGTGTGTCAGTGTGTGTGTGTGTGTGTGTCAGTGTGTGTGTGTGTGTGTGTCAGTGTGTGTGTGTGTGTGTGTCAGTGTGTGTGTGTGTGTGTGTCAGTGTGTGTGTGTGTGTGTGTTTGTTAAAGTACAACTCATAAGATAAATATTTCAACTGAAATAAATTAATTTATTTCAGCTATCTGCCAAAGGAACATTTCTCAATTTAACTTGTTGTGCAACAATAACAAAAATTGAAATAAAAATGAATACAAACTATATAGACATATAAAAAACTTACAGCAAAATTACTATAACTTTAACTAAAATAAATATAAAAATGGAAAAGATAAAACCCTGCTCTACAGCTAGCCTTATATGAACCATGTTCATGCTTTTTAACTGAATGGATTTAATTGTTTTCATAATGAACAGATTTATGCAATGCGTTTTGAAAATATTATTATTTAAAGGGATCATATGATGCTGCTAAAAAGAACATTATTTGATGTAATGAAATGTTTATGTGGTTTAAGGTTAAAAACACATTATTTTCCACATACTGTACATTATTGTTTCTCCTCTATGCCCTGGCTTTCTGAAATGCGTCGATTTTTACAAAGCTCATCGGTCTGAAAAGCGAGGTGTGCTGTGATTGGCCAGCTATCCAGTGCGTTGTGATTGGCCGAATACCTCAAGCGTGTGACAGAAATGTTACGCCCCTCACCATACTGTGATGATGCCCTGTCCGGCCGGAGCGACGAGACAAAAACATTAAAACCAAACTCTTTAAATAAACCGTACTTACAGTCTGTGAGTCAGAACAGAACATTGTAGTCTACTCTCCCAGGATCAGGAAACAGTCCTCCATAAAATGCGCTGCACACATCTGAATATTTGGGTTGAAGTGTTCTGGAACAGTGTTGTAAATACAACTTAACCACTGATTTCTAGTCGTGTCCTCTTTTGGAAGACCAAACAAAGTAGTTTCGCTTTCACAACGAAGCACACAGCGTCTTCACGACATGACGGCGGCAGCAACAATACTACAGCGAGAATAAAAGTTACGCCTTCTTTCTTTGCGTGAACATTTGGGCGGCGTTATGCAAATCTTCCCACATAGTGACGTAGATATGTGGGGGCGTGTTAGAATGAGGCGTTTTAGGTAGGCGTGGCAGAGTCTTAACTTTTATAAAGAATATCTCTTTGGATTTGAGACTTTAGTCTTTGCAACTTTACAGATCTTCTTTATGCACCAAGAGCTTGTAACACTCCAAAGAGAAAGAAACAACTGAAATCGCATCATATGACCCCTTTAAATAAAATTAAATAAATGCAATTAGTTAATAATAAACTACATTAACAAATTTCACAAATTTCACCTACAAATAAATGGCAGTTTTAATACACTGAAATAAATGTGAAATTCTGAAGGTAGAAAAACTGAAATTGCATATCCTTGTAAAATATACTTTAAGAGCCTTTGTTTTACAATTTTGAAAAATTCTGAAATTTGACCTTTTCATTTATGCATGACAAATGTTAAATTAAGTTTATTACTTTGTTCATGTTAAAACTGTCTAATCTAATCGGATATAAATTTTATACGCAGTTATATTCTTTTCTGCTTTGTTTCAGGATAGTTCAGAATAGAGTGCTCGGTGACCATCAGAAATGAGTCAGTTATTGTACATACTGTCAAATCCACACTGCACACTAGTTTTTGTTTGTTTTTCAAAATGATTTTCGAAATATAGCCGTAGTACAGTCAGAGAACTGCAGGAGCAGGCTGCAGTGATTGGCTGAGAATGTGTGAGTGCTTAGTGCTGATTGGCTGAGGTGATGATTGGAGGCGGAGTTTTCCTCAGCCTCTCCCTGGCATCCGTCCCTCAGCAGCTCGATCTGTTTTCCCATCATTCTCGTCTCGTGTAATTTGTCACCTAGCAACGCCGTTGACTTCAAGTTCTTCCAGTAAGATGTCAGAAATACAGAGAGATTGAATGCTGGTTGACCAGGATACATGTTCTGACTGAAATATAATTTATTGCATGTTAATCGTCATCATACGAGACCAGAACAAAGCCAGAACCACTGAGAGGCCTCTTCATCTCTCACATGGAGATGTGCTGATATGTTTGTGTGTTCATTGTTCATACATATTCATGTCCTGTTTGTTGTGTATGTTGTTGTTTTAGCTCATTTAATATGCACTGTGTGTCCTGCATATTCATGAGAGCCAAACCTGCTTCATTATGATAATCCAGATGTGTGTGTGTTTGTGTGTGTGTGTGAGAGTGTGAGTGTGTGAGAGAGTGAGAGTGTGTGTGTGTGTGTGTGAGTGTGTGAGTGAGTGTGTGTGTGTGAGAGTGAGTGAGTGAGTGAGTGTGTGAGAGAGTGAGAGTGTGTGTGTGTATGTGTGTGTGTGTG